CGATAATTATAAGTAAAGATTTCTGGAGTGCGAAAACTGGTCTCCGAAATTAACGTAGTACGTGAGTACTTGTAATTTGCGCTACTCTTTAGCTAACTGTACGCTATCTAGAATATATAAAACTCGTACTCATATGAAGCTCATATTAGACTGACGAAAACTGGTCCTCATCCACACTATAGCTCCATATCTTGACGCATGACTATGTATTGGCTCTGAGGGCGAGTCTAACTCTAAGGAGTTATTTTAAATGATGAACAGAATGCAGCCGTACTAAGATATTGCAATATAAATGAGAATTGGTCCCCAACATTTTTATGCCACACCTTCTGTTCCGTCATTCACCAATTGATTAATCGCTACTCTAAATTCAAGCATGAGCCTATATAATATCAAACAAAGTTCATATAGAAGGACGAAAACTGATCCTCAGCTGAATGTGTTGGTCAGGTAGCAAAACAAGTATTAGCCGCTTTAACTCCAATATGAGCTTCTTTGGTCAGATAATCACGGAAAAATGAGGATAAATGGTGTTCAGCTCCATCAGTGGATATCGCAAATCAAAAACTTTCGAATCAAATTTTCAGATATAAACATAAATTTATATAAAAATTATCTAGGAGTCTGTTATCTTACGATAGATAGAAAACTGAGATTATGATATTAAAGCAACTGATTAGGATTAGCACACACGAGCTGGTGCCCAGACTGGGGGCCCCAGTGACACGGGTGATGTCAGCAGAGACTGTCATTTTGCTTGTATTATTAGGTAGTCGAAGCCAGAGTTACTATTTAATCACAAGATTCCCAGAAAGAGAGAGAGAGAGAGAGGTGTTTTCCAGGATGTAAACTGGTCTTCAATCTCAAAATAAGATCAGAGGTTAGCAATTTTGGATAGGCATGAAGAGAAGTATTCCAGTATAAGGTAACTAGTAGTAAGATTTCCAGGCAGCACAAGAATGGAACCCAGTTTCACATATAATCGAATTATCCGAAAAAAAAAGAGATGAATGGTTAACCTAATTCCATGCAATTCGCTAGCCGCAAACATAAGAAGTGCACTAGAGAATTAGCCAAATTGAATTTTCCAAAAGCTAGTCTTTTTTCCCCTGTCAACGTCTGCAAATAATCGTTGCAAACGTTTACAACGTGCAAAGGAAAGTAAAAGGCAAGTGTACAACGGCGTGACCTCAAAAAAAGTATTACTACTAGCAGTCATAAATCGGTTGTACATACTACGTTTTCAACTTCGCCGATTGTGTAGCTACGGACTTTTTAGGCTTCAATTTACGTCGTCGTGAACATCTGTGATGAAAATGTATCGCGGAGCTCACTTAAACAGATTGTAAAGTTAGTAGTAATGGTAGAATGATCTTCAAAGTCTATTTTCGTCGGCACGGAGTAATTCAAGAAAGTGAAGAAAAACAGACGTAAAAATAAGGTTAGAAGAAATCTGACAAGACAACTAAGACCGTAAAAAGTGATTTATTCGAAAAAATTAAATTTTAGCCAAAAACCATCGGAAAGTTTCACAAACAAAAAATACTTCGTGTGTTGGCAAAACAGCTTCAGTGGATTGCCTTATATAGCCTATGATGCTATAAAAATGCAATAAAAGCTCGCTTAGCTGCTTTTTAGTGGATTCATTTATTGATTTCTGGCTAAATTTGTAAAGTCTTACATATAATAGATAAATATCTGAAAATTCAAAAAAACCAATTTTAGGGGAGTTCGGAAATGTTTTGAACAAATTACGGAAATTTTCGTATTATTCGGAAAAAGGTCTAAACAGTTTGATTCCTGGTGAAGAGCACTTCAAGGGAAATAATAGAAGGGGGTGTAAAATGTGTTATAAAATTGTGATCTATGAAGTAAGGAAATAAATTGGAATAAAAAATAAATTTCAGAATGAAAAGGCATATTCCGCAGCTGCACGTGCCGCAAAAAAATTTTTTTTCAAGCTTGGATATGCTCACTTGATCTAAAAGATAAAAATTAGGCTTGCAATATTATCAAGAAAAATGAGAAAACTGGAGAATTTGAGAAGCCGGGATATCGGAAAAATTGAAGAGTTGTCAGTGACTGTTGTGCAATATGAACATTTTGACGGGTCAGTGCTTTCATCACTCGCTTTGCCGTTTTGAACTTCCATAAACTTCATGCGTCAAGGGCAGTCATTTCAAGGGTCAATAATGCCAGCAAAGTTTACGGGAAAAAACCCCTCTAAGGTAATTTCTATTTACACGGTTAAGGTCGGTCCGAAATCAAGAAGTCACTAAAGTGCCACAGCACAAAACTTCTTCTACAGCGATTTTAGCCATAAAAATTCAAATTCGTAAGCTTTTTTGCCAGATTTTGAGTGAATTGAAGATGTTCTACAGGTGCATTTCTAAGTCAAAAGCATTGAATGTGTAGTGTATTTGCAGATAATGACAAAGTCCTCTAGACCTATACGTTGGAAGCTATGTGGCTGGACAATAAGGACCTCGGCGTTGGAAACAGCAAATTTAATATAACCAAAGTGACTGAAAAACATTCTACTATTTCCAGTAAACAGGTTTTTCTCATCTGATGCTGATCGAAAGTTGCTTTGAGCAACCGAGTCTGGATGCGTGAAAAGCGAACCTGTGCTCATGTAAACTACTGAAAACCCGAAAACTAGTTAATGTATGAAAGAAAGTTAATTTCCGGAAATTAGTTAGCAAAAAGAATAAGCAGAAAAATAATGGTTGGAATGCAAACACTGATCCACTTAAGATCCCTCTTTTTTTATTCAGAAGTTGATGCAGGCGCTTAACTGGACTAAATATTTAGTCGCAGCACAGTGTTCTGTGAAAGAATGACTTCTAATTTTTTTATGATAGGGTACGGAATAATTTTGGAAAACTCGATAATAGCAATTTTGAGACTTGCGATTTCTCGTTCTCTTTTTCTTATGAAAAACCATAAAAGTTTGATCATCATGAAGCAAGCAATTGAATTGGATTCTAGTATTTTGTTTTATTATTTTAAGGTAAAAATAGCAATGCGGGTTTTTCTTGATATACACTTATTTGTTCGAGTGTTTTTGGAATTACAGAGTTGCAATATAGTAGGTCTATTCTTTCATGATATTTTAAACAGTGGCTAATTTTTTTCCTCGTTATGCAGTTATAATAGCTAAGAAACTAAACACAATGCGTCCGCAATTGCACAAAACACAAACATGTGAGAGAAGATAAAGAATACAATTGTCCTCCTCACCTCCCACCTTCGTCCTCCTCTTGAAGCAAAAACCTCTAGAAATGCGCCTGTTTGTGTGGTCAAGTTCGTTGCAAACACAGATTCTACAACCACAAGTGGCTTATTTGCGAACAAGAAGCTGGACAAGTTTTTCCAGCGCTAAGAATGTCATTCACGAATTCTTTGTTGTCTCAATGGAGTGTTAAACACAACAATTAAATGAGTGAAGAAGCCATAAGAAAAGCGCAATGTTATTTTCAAGTTCGGTCCTTCAAATTAATTTCCTTCTGAATTTTTTAATTTTCAAAATAAAAACTACATAAATGAATAGATAGTCGAGTAATAACTAATAACAATGCAACAAAACGGGGCCATGGGTGGGCAAAGTAGTTCTGAGTAAGTTGCGGCCGCCAATCCAAACAAGAGTGAAAAAAATTCTTTCAAATATAGCGCAAAAAATAACCTTCACTCTCTTAGAAGTGCCATATAAAGCTTGGGTTGAAAAAAGCTTAGCCATTAGTGTGGAGTAATGGGCGTGCTCGGTTCCCATAGCAATTTCATCAATCTTGCACAACTTGGAAAAAATTGGATGCTGATCTGAGCGCTAGAGTAGTGAAATTTAGTATGTAAACGTAAACATCAGGGTCGTACATGAGGACCCAAGGACCCACTAAGCCACCTTTTAGGACAAATTTCGCCGAAGCAACATGGCCAAATCACCAGGTTGAGGAGGAATCGATGGTCGGAATTGCTTGCAGAAGCAGAGAATTCTTCAGCCAATCTATGCTAGCCGGTTCAGCGGAAAAAATGTTCAAAATGTTCGAAAACACTATTTGCGTTGCTTTTAGCTCCTGTTGTTTATTTGCTTATAGCAGACTCGAATCGAATGCAAAAACACCTGAATAATAGACAGGATTCTCCCAACAATGCTTAGTTGTTAGAATGCCGAAGTGGATTCCTGATTCCTACGTTTTCCGTTATTTTAAAATCTTCTGGACAAGCTGTATCCCAATCCTGTTTTATAACTGAAAAGTTCTGCCCTGGGATAGTATGGAGTAGGCGTTTTTGTCACCCGAAGTTATTGGCCGGTGCGTGCAGAGGACGGAGAGTTGGCCGAGTTGTCTTCGCCTACCTCAACGGCAATTGGCCGTCTGCTACACCATGCCCCTTAGAGGATGAGCAATGAATACGCCCATTCAGCATTACAAGGGACCAAAAATATCTTTTGATATCACTGAAATGTGTACAATACCGCACAATACCGCTCGCATCTTCAAAAATAAACGACGCAAAGTTACCGAATTTACGTGACATCACCGTCGCGTTGCCATATCTCGCTTAGAGTGAATGAATTATTGATCCAAGGGCACCATTCGACTCAGCTCGGCGCGGCTCATTTTTCGATATATAGAATTGCCTATTTACACACTAGGTGGTCAGAGTGTTTCGGAGTTTTGCTAACGGTAGGTTACTTACAAGTATGCTTGGTATGCTTATTCACTGCACTCACTGGGCAACTTCCCGTAAGCAAAAATTACACGATCCGCTGCGAATGGATTCTACGAGATGCCGTCCAAGCAATGCATTATTTGACGCTTCCCAGTAAGCACGCATGGGAAAAATAAAACCTGCCCTTGACTCCCTGCCAGTGCTCCCTATCTTCCTTTGCCCTTGATCCTTGTTTGCGGCATTTGATAGCGTGATACCCAAGAAGTTCTTGAACTTCAAAGACGTCATTTAAAGCTCCTCTTTTGGCACGCTTCTGCACAAAACAGCGGATACGAAGTGAATTTTATACTGAGGATAATTGAGAGAATACACATGGCGACCCGATAAATAAGTTAACAACATTTGGTTGAGGACGTAACAGTGATATAGCATAACAAGCAATTTTTAACGTAACAAATCTTCTACGAACTAGAAATCAAATTCCTCCTGGCAATCTAACAAGTGAGAGTGCTTAGCAAATCTTATGATTATATGAACTTTAAGAATCGATGACTTCGTCCAAGAAATCGTCAATTTGGTCATCATCTACCATTCCAGTGAACATTCCTATGCGTTCACCATTCTTGAACGACATCACCGTTGGAACGGCGGTGACACCATAATCCGTTGCTAATTCACCGGCGGAGTCGACATTAATCTTGGCCATAAGCACTGCGCCGTTCCTACCCATTACCTAAGATATACGATTCATTCAAAATACTCAAATGCTCTAGGGGGTATTCAGAAACCCGAAAAAGAAAATTCAGAAGGTCATTGTCACCGCTTATACTTTGAACCATAGCAGGTAAAGTTGCTGTTTCTAGCCAGAAAGGGCAAAGCGTACTTTTGGAGAGAAACAATCAAATTGTCCAATACAAGATCAAGAATAAATCTTGCTTCATTACAAAACATGATGTTCAGCAGTTCAGCAAAGTGCAAATCAAAAAGCAAAATCAACATTTAAAGTACTAACAGCGAACCAACCTTTTCTTCCAAGCGTGGTCCTAATGCTCTACATGGTCCACACCAATCAGCATGAAAATCGACTACAACGGGCGCGGGAGAATTTACAACCTACGAAATTGAGAATGTATCTAGGTTTTCGACCGGAATACTGGGACAAACACAAAGAAAATAGAAATAAATCAATAACAGAAGCGCTTTCGCTCTGGAAAGGCAGCATTTACGGGCATAAAAAACCAAACGATGATAATAACGCATAAGGCACGTTCGAAATCATACGCTTTCATATAAGCCCACTGTTTCAGTCGGAAATTCGATAACAAATTAGAAATGAACATTACGTTACGGAGGATAGTATCAGAAGCAGCTTTCAATAAGTTAATGAAAAATATGAGTAACCAAATCTTAACCCGGAGTTATTCAATTCGCTGGAGACACTAGCTATGTTCCACAAAAAGCGTGCGAGAGGTTTCATAGCATTACGCTGAAGTATCAACAACTGAAATCCAGAATCAACCAATCATTTGAAAAACCATTCAATCACTTTTTACATAGAGTAACGAACTATGATTTCGGCTTATGCCAAAATTTCTCAGTAAGGAAAAAACCAAGAGCTACTCCTATAGCGTTCACACATAAGCAAAACAGCTAGATTTAGCACAATGGTCAATCAAACCCCCCACAGCAAAAATGGCAATTCTGGGCTCTAAAGTGGAACAGCCCCCCATGTTTGTATAGACTACGAGTATCTGCACTGCATCTGCAAAAGCAATGCAAATTCAATTTGGTAATAGAAATGAGAACTACAAAACACAGAGATATTTACAAGAATAGATAGGTTCAAAGCTGTGGGTAAATGATCTTAGACAAATACTATAATAAAGGAACATTATGGAACACTTGAAACAGATCTGAATAATGACACACCTTTTCGGTAAAGTCCTCAGTTGTCTCCACTTCGAACACAACACTATCCGTGCACATCCTCTGCACTCTGATAAACGATGGAGCCAATTTGGGCGCTCGCTGCGCCAAAGTGGGTCGCAATGCCATCCGCACTAATGTGGCGCCTAACCTTTGCATATTAACCTAAATTCAGATACAAAATATTGAGTTTCAACTAAAAAGTACGTAAAGATAGAACAAATACATGACAACAACAGCTGATAATCGCACTGTATCACGTTTTTCAAGAAAAACTCGTCTAGCAGAATTGGGCGACGCTCCAGCGATGAAAAGTGCTCGAATCACAAGAGCAGGCCTTCCTTGGAGCGCGTTATCCATACAAGTTTTTAGACAACTAACTCAAAGAGCTTGAGACAGCTTCTAATTTCTTGCTTCCTCTTTGCCTCGATTACGATGTTGTATAAGTTTTCCAAATGTTCTCGTAACATGCGCTTGAAAATGTTCGCTGACTTCGTCATTTTTGACTCTGTAATGAAGAGGGCACAATTGCAACGCAGCAGCCGTAGACAGCGCGTTGCCGTCATTGACTCGACTATAGCCTGATGAGCTTTCAGGTAATCAACCAAGTCGCTAAGATGTATGAGGCTTATGCTGCTAATGAAGTGGCTATGAAACTTCCGTTGGAAGTCACATCGCTTACTTGCCAAAGTGAGTCTTTGATCAGATTATGCATCATTTCATTTACTGCGGACGAATCGTTTTTCAGTCATTTTTTGAGTTTTCCGCTGTGTTTTTGATACTTGGTATTCTTGTGTTTTCGGAAGTTCTACCATTTTCCCAAAATTTTTTTTTCCATTTTGCATTTTGCATTCGCCTCAGAAAGGCTAGCGTTGGTTCCAGACATAGGCTATAACATTTAGGCTCAACCGGCAATGTCCTCGCTGGCAGTAAAGTGGGGCAGCTATTCGTCTACAGTCCTAGACGTGCTAGTAAGTCCTTTTTTAAACATTTTCCGGGGTACCCAACACGTACAGCTTATTCAAGATCGTCGCGGTTTTGACCTCGACAACCTATGCAAGCAGTTTGAGAGGAAAGCTGTTTTGGAGTTGAAAGTATGTGAAGAACAAGATTTGCTGTTTTGTGTTTCTGACGGTCAGATGGCTGCTCACTCGCTGAGTAAGTTTAAATTTATGAACTTTTCCAATCGTCTTTATCGCATTATATGTTCAGGGGACCGACATTATCCCGTCATCAATATTCTTCATAAAATAAAGCCTGTACAATGCTTTACCACTTGGTATCGTAAGGTCTGTACGCTTGTCTCTGTCTGTCAGCAGATAAACTTAGACCGTTTATGTTTTTTAGGACGAAGATATGATGCACATTTTCGTCTCATCGAAAAAACGACTGTATCTATTCAAGTGGTCTGACAATGACTTTCACGAAGTCCGGTTCGAGTACAATCAATCGTTCACGGATAAGCCAGGAACTTTGAAGTCGGTTAACAATAATCTTTGGATTCCTATTTGTATTTCTTAAGCGATTTTAGCTTTTTAGAGTTGTTGATGACACAGTATTCCTGAGTTGCGGTCGCGAATACATTCTTATGAAGCTAACTGATAAAAGCAATGATGAGGAGAAGGTATGGATTTTTTTGTGTCTACCCGTCATAGCTTCTCTTATCTGTTTAGTTGATGCTTCTCTTTTCTAGCTCTTACTCGGTGAATGTCGCCGTCTTTTTGACTTTGGCGATAATGCCGGAATTGTGGAAATATGGGATCGAGACCTTCTCGGATTTTTTCATGGCGACACACTTGTTATCACCAATTTCGACGGTCATAAAACTTCCATGGCGGATATACGTTTCAGCGATGTTTTAACCGATATAGGTATGTTCCTGCCTTTCTTTGCGTTTTGGCAATTTTTTTTACTAGCTCTTACCTGTTTAGTGTATGACCCACCTTACCTTGTTGGGTTATTGCCAAGAGGAAGAGTTGAGGTTAGATCATTAACCCCATCTTATCTCATACAAAGCATGGCTCTCAGCAAAGCCTCGTTGCTCTGCAAGGGAAATCCGTAAGTTTGCTCTATCCTAAGCTTTTTTTTCATTATTTTGCCCATTTTTATTGATTTTTGACCTTTGCAATTCTCTCGAAATTTGAGGATAGATGGTGTGAATGTGAATTTATCTGGTGTTTTGAATGTGTGCTTTCAGTGGCTACATCTTTGTCAGCAGTCCATTCGATGTCTGGATGCTTGATGTTCATACAAATATCCGCAGGAATGTCTCACTGCTTATTGCTGACAAGCAGTTTGAGCTAGCTATCCAGATTGTGGTGTGTCAAATCATGTGTTCTGTACAAGTCACAGTAGTTGTCGTAACACCATGGTTTCGTGTCTGCGTGAGAAAATCCTAGTTTTCCAATTCTCCTTATACAGTATAGTATCAAAGTCATTGTTGATCTTTAGGAAATGTCAAACATCTTCACAGAGGAGAATAAGGTCGAAATCAAACGCCAAGCAGCGCTGAATCTCTTTCACAGAAGGAAGTTCGAGGAGTCTTTCCAGCTATATGCTGATATCAAAACAGGTAATCTTATTTATGCCATTTTAGCTATGATTCAGTATCCATTCCGTAGTCTTCGAGTTACGCTTATGCACTTAGCGTAATAACATCTTTTCTGACCTTGAAATTACATACATGGGGCTTTCGTATGTATCTATATCTGTTTATACAGATGTCATCACCATCATCCAAATGTTCCCTGAGTTTCTGCCAGAGAAGTTGCAGAAAGACGCTGCTGCCTTTGATTTGCCGGCAAATGACAAGAAACGCGCATTGTTAGCACTGGGCAACTATCTTTCTGCGGTAGGATTTGAAACCCATATTGTTTGACAATAAAATTTGTTTCAAGTTTAGGTGAGAGCGGATCTTTCCAAGCAACTGGACCAATATAATCGCGAGAGGCATCATAGCCAAGCTAACATAAGTCCAGAGCATGTGAAAAGTTTACACATTTCCTTGCAAGTGATAGACACAGCGCTATTGAAGTGTTACCTGCAGGTTTGCGCTTTTCACGATTGCAAGTATTCTCTCTGATGTTCTCGTGTTTAGACTAGACCGTCACTTGTGGACTCGTTGCTTCGATTGCACAACAACTCTTGCTTTTTCGAAGACGCCGAGTCCATACTAAAGGCGGAAAATCGACTCCCTTCTTTGTTTATTCTATACGAGTCGAGGAAAAAGCATGAAATGGGTAGGTTTTGAACTATTTGATTCAATGCCTAGACTTTACAGGCAATTTTTAAGCACTTGAGCTACTCCGCACCCAGTTTCAAGATCCGGAGTCTGATCCTTTTTTCCACGGACTAGATCAAATGGTAGCTTATCTCCAGACTTTGGGCAATACCCATCTGGAACTGATATTCAAGTATACTAGATGGATCTTAGATAAGAACGTGGCGGCTGGCTTAGAAGTTAGTCTGCTCCGTCTTTTCGTCTAACATAAATTTGAATATTCTTTACTTCTTAGGTTTTCACTGGGGAAGAATCGGACCTGGCACGAAATCTCGACCGACAAGCTGTTCTAGTATTTTTACGTACGCATTGTGTTGCTGCTGTGATTCCTTACCTGGTGAGTATTTTGCTCTTTTCATTTTCTGCGTCTTGGAATATCGAAATTTTGTCCGAATGCGCCTTTTTCAATTTTTTGGGTTTTGTTTTTGCTTTTTGTCTGGGGTTCTGATTGTGCGAGACATGCTCCAGGTATATTCAGGAACACATAATCTACAAATGGGACGAAACGCGACCGCAGTTTCATGAAGCTCTCGTTGAGCACTACATTGTCCGAGTAAAATTGTTGTTCAAGGACTATGTGCAGGCTTATCCTGATGGCATGTTGAAATATGATATTTAAGCTCATTATTTCCAGTTCAATGTTGCAGATGAAAACATAATAAGAGCCGGAGATGAAGATGGAGAGCTGGGAGAGATGCGACGACGACTGCTGAAGTTTTTACGATTTTCATTGTACTATAGTCCACAAGCTGTGATCTTGCAGCTTAGTAATTGTGGTTAGTTTTTCTACCTCTTTCGCTTTTTTTGAACTATGATATGTTCCTTGAAAAGTAGAGCTTTTCTACGTAGCTCACGTTTTTGTATTTAGCTTTTTATGAAGAACGAGCGTTGGTTCTTGGACGATTGAAACATCATGAGCAGGTTATGTATCGTGTCCATTATTTTCCGTTACATCCCGTTTCAATATCACCATTCAGGCTTTGGCCATCTATACATCTATTCTAAATGATTTTGATGCTGCAGAAGAGTATTGCCAAATATACTATGACCGTAGCGATGAGACCAACTCACAGGTTGTTGATAAACGGAAGATTGCATAAAGGTTTTTTTAAACCTTTTTTACAGGTTTACTTGCTTCTTTTTCGTGCTTTTGTTTGCCCTCTCGATCCTATGATTGCTGGTCTTTTGGAAAAAGATCTTCCAACTCCGGAACCTGATGTACATAGTGCTGTTAAAGTTCTAAGCAGACACGCAGATAAAATTGATACAGGTAAGGTAACGCAGTGAAGATATGGTTTCAGTTTTTCCTTTTTTGTTGGCTCGTTTTTCGGTTAAGCTACAAAAAAAACCTGAGCTTGTGTTCTATGAAGTCGCTCTTATCTCAACTCGCTTTTCCAAGAAGTTCAAAAAGTACAAGTAAGATTGCTTGAGGGAATTTTTTCTTGACCCTTGTGAGAAGAACTACCTTTTTTGTTTCCTGCAACCCTACCTCGCTCGATTGTCTTGAACAAGGATACTTCAGACCTATCAACTAAAATTAATGTTGTACAGCTGTAGGAACTGCCAACATTTGCGTTTCAGTTGCCGCTTTGTCGATAATTCCTAATGACACACCATTATGCACTTTGTCCAAAGCGCTTCATGCTGTCCTACAGGCTACGCATGACGACGCATGTGCTGTAAGTTTTTTTAGTCATAAGATCACATTGGATTAGAGAATTACCATTGATTTTAGTTGGCTCTGCGCCGTTCTGTGTGCCTATGTGGTGTAGAATCCCATGAAGAACGACTGCGACAAGTTTTGAAGCAGCGAATTGTAATTGGAAATTCGAGCGAATGTTCGAAATGTGGCAAGAAAATTGGAAATAGGTATGCTTTGCTCGTCTTGCCTCAACCTTTTTATGCTCGTTTTCTTTTTTTTGCAGCGCTTTCGTGCGCTATCCTACTGATGGGTGTTTGGCACATTTTGGTTGCCATGCTGAGTCTTCAGCAACGACACCGACGAATGTATTGTGATTGTGCGGCTCCAATTTTTGTACCAGAAAGCATAGACGGGTAATGTTATGACGTTTTCTTGTATATCTCATCTTACAAGTGCTATTAAAGCTTATCCATAGTCTTCGCTTTATTCCAATTCTCTGTTTATTCTTGATATTTCTTAGCTTTTCATCACCTCGCCATGAAATGAGTATCAGCTTTTTTGCTAATTTGTCCCTTTATGCTATCCGTGTTGACAGAAAGAGTGTGTCTCTTTTGCCACTGTGCCATCGTTTTTTCAAAAACCTCATATGCTCTACATCTTCCACGGTGCCTTTATGTCATCAGACCTGTATTTTTTATCCAAGATTTTTACTTAATATTAGTGTTACGTTTTCTATCTGTTCCTTCAATTTTCAATGTGCGGATTCTTTAATAATTTGAGTCAGAGGCCGGTCCCTTACTTATTCTCATTTTCATCTAATTTCTATTCTATCTGCTCCAGAGGTTGATCTTTTTACATCAGTCTGCATTAACGTCCTCCCATCTACAGGGTGAAGGTTTTCTGATGCCGAACCAGTTTGAAAGTTTTTACCAGTCTAAGTGTCCTGAAAAAAGTACCCGATAACGATCAGTGCGTTTACTGCTTGTCATTCTAACGGCTGATCATTTGCCCTTTGTTGTTACGGCTTAGAATAGTGATCTATGATTTTTCGTAATAATCTCTGTGATTGATAAATCTTCATATTGTACATACGAATGTGATAAAATGGGAAATTGAGTTTGTTTGTATGATTGCTGGCAAAGTTTCATCTAGCTCATAGCATGGGCGATTTCACGCTTCACCTGCCTTTACTGAAAGCTATTGTAGAACTGGTTTTCATCGCATTCTAAAAAAGCTTATCACCGGATTGCACACGAGATTCACACATTGTGTGGCTTTTGTGGCTTTGCTCATGTTTCGCTCACATAATCCGCGATTATCGATGCACATAAAATTCTGGATCGAGTTGCAGAAAGAAACATTTGATCGCAGTGGAAGTGAGAGCAATATGAACGCTAATGCGGCGAACTGGTCCGCCATGTGAAAGCGATGATTTTCCGGAACATAAATGGGATCGTGCGGGGTGCCGCCTCTTTTACAAATGTGGCGCACAATCCCCAATGTCACTTATCCCATGCGCTGGACAAAATCGTTCACTATTTTCCATAACTGCTGCTACATCTTTATCTATGCTGTCAAAGGTCAGCAGTAAATAAGTATAGATATATTAGAGCGGGTCTGATCTGTTACAATACATGATAAGGCAAATACTGCAATAGTGAAATCTGAAGCATTTGAATTTTTCATGTAAAAAATTACCGGATTACCGTAATTTACCGGAGAAAATTACCGTAATTTTACCGGAAAGGCAACTGTACACTCTCGCCCAGATCGTACTATCTGCGCGAACCAATTGGCATACCGTACTCAAGGGCGCTGATTGGGTCGTAAACTCGGGATTACAGTGAGGATATTACGTCCCTAGTACGCATTTTTTCTAACAGATTGGGCTTTGGTGCAGCTTGCTCTGTTTATCTTCAGTAGATATTTGCATAGCGACAATTTGTTTACACAAACTTCTCACATGCGGAGGAAATGTATCTCTCTAAAAGGCAGTTGCACAGCTCCAGTTGGCTGCTTTGAGGCTAAGTCTGGGATTAAACTACATCCCTTCTTCCTATTCTCTCATGCAAAAATCGTATCTCTTCCATCATCTAATTCTTCACGCCATCGTAAAATAAACTTTCACACATTCGCCATTGTTCAAAGGAGTTTTTTATGGGGGCTTGAAGAATTCTTCCAAACGCTCGAATGCAAATTTTGTACGATTTTGTTCGTTGTCATGATTCATACGTTCTTACTAGGAGATAATCTGAATATGATTATCTCCTAGTAAGAACGTATGAACAATGATACACTTTATTGCCTGACGTTTCGGTTACACACCTTCTTCAGAGGCCTTTCCAGGCCTCTGAAGACGGTGTGTAATCGAAACTTCAGGCATTAAAGTGTATCATTGTTAAAAACCTGTACGGCAAAGAAGATTAACTGAAGTTATACTAGAATGCCCAGGTTACAAGAATGGAGGACTTTCAACATAATGAATATGCAAAATTACCTGAGACGCTTTTGCCCTTGTATGGAATTCTGTGTATTCATTCGATATTATCTCTGACAATCTTTAACATTAATATAAATAGTGGAATGAAGTTTATATGGGAATTTTCAAGATAAAAAAAAACCGGTACTGCTAGCTATTTTGTAAGAAGAAAAAACATTCCTATTTTCAGACAAGATTATCTACCTTTTTAGCATTTTTCGTTGCATCAAAATGTTTCTTGACTTGGAATTCTTTTGTTTTTTTGTCCATTTTTTTTCAAAGTTTCCCACTCCCCTGCACTAGATCGGATGTAACATCTTCCTTTCCGTTTTGAAATGCAATCAGCAGCGGCAGAGGCGAAAGTGAATATGTTTGAGAATGTAAGCATGTTTTCTGTGGGTGTTGGTGAAAAACACTCGTGGCTCCTCGGCTCAGCTGAGCAAAGAGTCCGCTCACAACTTCATAATCTTTGAATTTCTGTTTCGCGAAGCCAAATCTTTGCCTTCTCATGTCCTTTCTCTTTGGAGAAAGGACGTCTCTTTGGAGTCTTTTTCTTTCTCTAAATCCTTTAAACGCGAAAATCTTAGCATTTCTCAGGAAGATAGATATCTTTGCATGAAATCCCTAAAGTGTAGAGTTTCCGTACTTTTGGCTGTGCCTTCTTGAAGCAAAAATAGCATTCAGAGGACATTATGCAGCCTCTGCCGGCTGCACTGGTGCATTTGGATGCATAATTACGTTAATCTTCAAAGGAAATGGGCGTCATTTTTGTTGAACTCCATGGTCCGATTTTTTCTTTTTAAAGGGTGAACGAGAAGTTTGGAGAAGCGTGGGAGGGAGAGACTTGAAGTAATGGGAAAATAATTTGAGCAAAGAAAGTGGGAAGTGAAGCGTATTGAGGGAGAAAGGTAGTGGCTGCATGAGTGAGCCTAACTTAGCTGAATATTATATTAGGTTGTTGCAGATATAATCTCCGTTTTGCAAAGTTTCATTTTGAAAGGCCATAATTTTGTTCAGTCTTCATATTTCTGAATGCAACAAAAACCATCTGAAGCAGTAATCCTTTCGTAATCTAACGCGCCCTGCATTTACTGATATTGCAAACGAGAAGAAAATCGTGCGGCAAAAAACTGAAAGTTTTTCTTTTGAAAACCTCGTCTTTGAGAGATTACAACACCTTCAAGTTTTGTTTCTATGGCTGCTAATCAGTCTATTTTGATGCAATCCATGATGCAAGCCAGTAGTATACGCTTGCTTAGAAAGACTTCAACGAAGGAGTTCTGCGAAAAGAAAAGATAGAAATCGAAAATTGTCCACTTTTTTGAGCCTATTTGTGGTAGGCCAGAAAGTCCCAAATTATGGAAATTTGAAATTCTTCATACACTGAATTGCTAAGTTTTTCTGCAAAAATGTAGGAAAGATGTCCTGACCTCAAGCACACAGAAATGAGCGATTCTTCGGCGATTGCCCAAATTATGAGAAACTTTGGACCCGTGGAATGCCAGCAGCGAGTATCTATTTCGGCGCTCGATTTCTCGGTTCAGATATTTTCGAAAAATCTATTTAAACATGCTATAGGTAAACAATTCTCAACCATTACAGCAGCTATGTTTTCGAGAGAATCCGTTCAGTTGTGCCTGAATTGTGGCTAAGCAAGTTAGAGCAGAGAAATTTCGTTTCTAAGTGCGGCTGTGCGAGATGCTGGTGAAATTCTCACTGTGAGACAGAAGATTAATTTCGCCACTATTAGAAAGTACATGAGGAAACTTTCTAATGGTATGCAGAATCTTCGAAAAAGCAATTCTTGAAGGAAAAAAATTGTTCGAAAAGTAGGCCTAGAAAAACGGACATTACTTTTGCAACAGCCTAATAATACAGGGCGCGAATTCGGTTCCTCAAAATGTAGTTCAAAAAATCGGCGTAATTCACAGGTTTTTCTGGTAAATTTGGCATAATTCCCAAGATGTGGATGTATTCTAGCATTTTACAAAAACTGGGCTCAAAATTCTACAAAAGGACCCGGCGGCATTTCTTTTCGCAGCCCATTTTATATCAAATCTTGCAACTCCCCATTACAGATGTGCAGATTTTTGGGAAATTTTTTTTGTTTGTCACGCGAAATTCAGAAATCCTCTACTGGTTAAGGAATGTGGTAGTTGATACAATATTCTGGAAGTAGCCAGTCAGCAGTTGCACTAGTAGAGAAGCTGTGAATTTTTCTAACGAGAAAGTGGCTGCGGCGCAGCAGAGTGCGTTCAGAAAATGTGGTACAGAGACTAGGCATAATCGTTTATCGCTCCAAAATCGTGCTGTAGACAAAGTTTGATGCTCTTATCATTATTCCTGTCACTTTTTGTTGCAATCTGGAACTTCGAATCATAGTATGGATCCAATTCGTTAAGCAAGCGCAGTCTTGACTCGCCTCTTTTCGAGAATTTTTGCGATTTGCGTGTGATACGATCCTCCTTATTTAGCCAAAACAAGAATCATCAATCCATAGTTCATCTACAGTGGGTGTAGAATATTGGAGAAGAGATCATGCGCTACATACCAGCTTAATTTGAACCTTATATCAATGCTGGTGGTATAGTTACGGTCCAAAATTGCGCTTGTATGCTATCGCATCGTTAATGTTCTTGCGCGCTGTTATCACTCGTTCAGATGGACAGAAGCATTCAGTTTCAAATCAAACTTATCTTTATTCAATCTCAAGGACCTCGCCTACGTATGGGAATCAAAAAACTACAGATTTGCTTTATGTTTGAGGTATTTCATGAGACAAGTGGAGGGACAGTACTTTTTCCGCACCCTATATTTTTATGCAGACTTTTGAAAGAACCAGATAGAAGACAAATCGGAATCCTATGAATGCTTTTTTGAGCTTTTTTGGAAAAAAATTCGTGGAAGCCAGAGCTATGGGAAAAAATCTGGCAA